CCTCACCTGTCCAGGAGTAATTATGGCGTCCCTAAGTAGGGATGATAAGTGACCCAAACGATTGTCAACCCCCGCAACGTGGTTACCACGAGTTATTCGAAGCCGCGAATGAGCTTTTTGCTTGCGGCCGAGAAGATACATAACGAAAGATGTAGAGACATTCACTGGACACTTGTGTGGTGTAGCCCACCGTCTGAGGGTAATGATTGTGGTGCGACTGCCGTGCTACCTAGGCCCTTCTGTAAGCATAGGAGACAGATGGATGTTCGGGTTGGTCGAAAAAGAAGTACCCACTGATGTGTTTGAGACGGACTATGTATTGCTATAACTATTCGTGCGTACTCTTATCGGCTCAGGTGTTGCCAAGTGTGTTATCTCTGTGTGTGGCATTCGCCGGTAATATATATATGTATGGCAGGATATCTTCTACGCCGTATTGCTGCACAACGACTTTCCAACCGCGGCCGTGGGTCTCACGTTCGTAGAATACCTTCATTTAGTGTACTTTGCCGCAACATTTATCATTAATGAATATCTCTATGAAAATCACGATGGAATGTGTTCCCTATGGAGTTCTCACCCCCGAGCTTTTGTGTTGATAATTACTTTGTTGGATCTTCTGATATATGATGATTTCTTTGGTATGAAATCTTACCATGAGAGGTACTTTACCGAGTTGGCATGCAGCACAACTTTATGAGATATGTTACTGATGCTAAAAGACACAACAGTCGATTATCTGGTTCCGTTTCTACATGATTTCAGTTTGCGTTCGACGGCTTTCCCACCTGTATTCCTACTTCACATGTAGGCGAGGACATTCATGATGTTTGGTCTAGGTCTCATTTGCAGTGAGCGACTGCAGCTCCTCATATGTGTCTGACCTCGAATGACAATGACTTATCCTTGAAGGCATCACTAATTTTGCTTTGTCATGGCTTCGTTTTCGGTGAATGGTTGCTCTTATTCACATCCTCGTATGTCTCTGAATTTCTGGAGGGACAATTACCTATCCCAGAAGGCTTTACTATTGTTGCTATGTGACTAATATTATTCTGTAGCTCTTGCTGCTTTCTTTGTGAAACACGTCTTATAGGGTTTGTTTCGATGGATTGTTATTTTGCTTTTTTTTAGATCTGATTTGGTCCCCCACACTCAAAATGGGCGACGATCAGGGTTCTTTACCGGTCCTTGTACAGGAATATGAAGAAGCTGTGGACAACTTATCCATAAGTTCTTTGCTGTCTGACATTGAAAAACTGAAAACGTCCCTTATCGATGATCTGACCGCCAACTATAATTACTTTGTACCTCTGTCCAACCGCATTTCTGACGTTCGGAAACGCTTTCAAGATGTCACAAATTCTGTTCGTCAACTCAATACTACGGTTAAGAGTAATGTAAGTCTAACCAGAGTTCATGCTGTGTGCATCTTTTTTTGAATATCCACAATTCCCAACTCATTTAACGAGTTTGCAAATATTCATAACAAATCTTCAATTTAGCTCTTTCAATACCGTAAAATGCGATGAAGTTGGTTAGGGAAGACCGAAAGCGCGTGGGTTCGTCGTAGTGGCTTTTATAGAGCTGTCAAAACTTTGGCGGTACCAGGAAATTCCACAATATTATCCGCTAAATTCAGGTCAGGTTTATTAGGGAAATATAGGTAAATACCTTTGAACTCTCTCTTGGTACAGAGCAGCTATGATGCAGAACATGTGGCGTTGCCAGTAATGGAACTGCAAAAAAAGGGCAGACAGTAAAAAACTCCTTAGGCATTGTTCAGAATTCTAGACGTTTGAATGCCATTTGCAGAATTTTAAGGAGAAAAACTGTCGCCCGTGGGGGAAGGGAAAGGGGGGGGGTAGAGTATTTGCAAATCGGATGGCCTGCTGTTGAAAGTGTTTGAAGCATGTCAGGAGAAGCCCATCGCGGTAGTGACTAAGTCCCTGCGCTTGGTGATTCTTCGCGATCTGAATGGCAGTTTTGCCACTAGAAATTTAAACAAACCTTCTTCCAGCTTGAGTGCCTTCTATGCTTCATGCACGAACACGTCAGTATGAGTTTCTCTGCGGAACTAAGGCTTTGCCTTACCGCCACCTACGACTTATTGTATTGTCCCTTTACTCGCAGAAAAAATCGAGTAGTTCAGTGCGCACGCAACGTACCACAAAGTTCCCCCAGAGGATATTACTCCTACCGGATGCGTACAGAAACACAGCAGATCTTCTTTGATCATAGCTCGTGGAATATTCGTTGGTAAACTGTAATGGACAAATCATGTCGAGGAGGCTATCGCAGCCGGTAAGGTTGATAGGTAAAAGCCTTGCTGGTGCGATCTTCAGAGAAAGTAAAGCGCTAGGTAGAAGCAATTGTTTATTCTGTATAGGTGTCGTGATTTGGATATAGTCGAGTTATTCAGTACGCAATAGCCGAACAGTC